CTTAATGAAGCGAGCACCTTCACACCTGCAGCCAGACTGACTCCACTCCAAGTACAGCCTCTGGCAGAAACACAGCGGTAAGAAGTGGCAAGGTATGAAAGTGCCCCAACTCCTAGCAGGTCTTCTGCAGCAAAGGGAAACGGGAAATGACAGCGCACTTGCCAGAGCAAGCACGCTCGTGAAGCCACAGGGCTCCCTTACTCCCTGTGCCCAAAGGACAGAGAAGTCCTGGATGTAGAAAATCTTGTTCTTCTTTTTTATTCTTTGGCTTTAATAAGAAAAGATCCTGTTTTAATTTTGAACTTAAAAAAAAAAAAAAGCTAACAAAAGCGGGCCTATTCTCTTTGTTTAAGACCATGTGGAATCATTACTAAGACGTCAGTTTTCTATTGTCTAGGTAGTAGACTGTAGTTATTTAGTTTTACAAGGACTTCTTTGGCCAAGAAATCTGTCCATTTGGAAAAGAATAGTATTGCATACTACTATGCAGATTTGCACACGCTACAATTGTAGTGCCTTTCAGTCTGAAGGAATCAAATGCTGGGTCCTTTTTACTGAAGACCAAGGTCTTGGTTGGCTGCACCCCATTTGTGAAAGACAGCCGCTTTCTTTCACTCAGACGGCAGGCACACTGATAAGTTCAAAATCCCCCTTCCCTCGCAAGTATTAAGTAACAGAGCAAATGAGATGGCAGATGCGGAAGAAGACCTTGTCGTTCTTGTCACTTTCCTCGATTCTTTTGAAGCCTTTTGTTCTATGTCTAGTCTCATCAATTAGCTACTTATTCAAACACCCATTTCTTACTTCTGTCAAGTAATGGCTCTGACATGCTCCTCTCCCAACACCTCCATGATCAACTTCTCCCGACTGCCAATCTATCTTATATACTACACATATTCCCTTAGTACCATAATTTATATTATCTTCTAACTATTCGAATTCTGTTCCTGTTCCTAGAGCCAGGTCCCTGAGACAGGGAATTTCCAAGGAATGCGTAGGTTGTCTAGCTACTTCCTTTTCCCTGTCCCTGATGAAGAACCTGGGGTCTAGGGAGGTCTGGACAAGTTTGCAGGAAAACTAGGCATACCGCGCAGATGCCTTGACTTTCAGTTCAGTGTTTTCCACTGCATTAGGTCATTTATCTTACTTGCATCTTTTCAGAACTCCTTATAAACGCTAGACATATTCGTGGTTCCCTTGAGTATCAGTATAACAAGTGTACAGGTTTATCTAACTGAGAGATTGACCAGGGAAAGAGTAAGAAGGCAGAAAGGCATTTCCTTACTTCTTTGCGTGATGCCACCCTCCAGACCAGTTAATCGCTATTTTACACTTCCCGTCAATCAGGCACTGGGCAGCAGTGATTGTAGCTCCTCCCACAGCAGCCGCATAGTCAAATATTCCTTCTGTGGCTGGGCAGTCATAACCTGGGGGCAGAACCCAGAAAAATCTGTTAAAGAAGATCTGGGGAAGGAAGAATAGGTTAAGCTGTGTCAACAGCACAGCCTAAAGAAGGTTCTGGGCTAAAACCAGCTCCACTGGGGACAGATAAGCATCTCCAATGTTAGACAGGGAAGGCTTTCAAAGGTTAGAAATAGAAAGGGTAAAACCTTCAAGATGAACTTCTCATATCCCACCAGCAGTCCATCAAGGCCCGAGAGGTGATGTATTTTGCCAGTGGTCACACAGAGCCAGGCCTGGGACCGGGTCTTTTGATAGCCCCACCTAGTATCTTTCTTTAAGCCACACAGTTTCTCTAGAAGAGTGGTGCCTTTGACATCGCAGTATGCTGCTGTCGCCTACAAATGTGTTGGGCCCTATTCATAGCTATCGTGGGAGGCATGTGGCCCACGAGCTGCAAGCTGGACACACCTGCACTAGACCATGCTGTTGACAATTCACTGTGATTTTTTTAAGGCATCTGTTGATGAAGGATAAGGTAGGAAAATTAGCCAGAATTTAAACATTTACCTAATGCCATGCATGGTGACGCATACCTTTAATCCAGCACTTGGAAGGCAGAGGCAGGTGAGTTCCATGCCAGCCTGGGCTTTTACAGTGAGACCCTGTCTTGGAAAAATTAAAAAAAAAAACCTCAAACCAAATAAGTCAATACTTAAAATATATGATCACTACAGCTAGTGCAGCCCCAAGTGCTGCCCTTAGAATCTTAGCACTGAGCGATTCTTCTCCATCAGTCTCATGGTTCTCTTGTGTTCGACTCATAGAGTGTTCACAATATGACCAGACTGAGGGATTAAAATGAACAGTTGGGGCTTGAGATGTAGCTAAGGCAGAGTGCCTCATTAGCATATCCCAGGACCTGGGTTCCACCCTCAATAACACACACAGGCACAGACAGACAGACAGACACACACACATACAGACACATGTGCACACATGCATCAGTTATATTATTTCTTAATTTAAAAGTATCGGGCCACAGAGGTGGCTAGCAGTTAAGAGCATTTTTTTACTCTTCCAGGGGACCTGGGTTCAATTCTCAGAATCCACATGGCAGTTTCCAAACATCTCTAACTTCAGGTCCAAGGGCTCTACGGCCTCTTCTGACCTCCACTGGCACTGCATGCACGTGGTACACACATACACTCAGGCACACAGGCGTACACATAAAACTTAAAGATAAAAAAGAAAAGAAACAAGTATTAAGGGTTAGGGAAGTAGCTCAGTCAGTAAGATGCCTGGCACACAAGGATGAGGGCCTGAGTTCAGATTCCTGGCATCCATGTTAAAAGCCGGCACACGAGGCATGAATGTGTAACCCCAGCACTGGAGGGGTGGAGACAAGTAGATGCTTGGAGACCACTGGCCGTCCAACCTGGTCAAAATGGTGAAGTTCAAGTTCAGTGAGAGCCTCAAAATGTAAGGTGGTGAGTGATTAAAGAAGACACCCAGAGCCAGGTGGTGGTGGCACATGCCTTTAATCCCAGCACTCAGGGGCAGAGGCAGGTGGATCTCTGTGAGTTCAAGCCCAGCCTAGTCTACAGAGGGAGGCCCAGGACAGTCAGGGCTACACAGAGAAGCCTTGTCTCAAACGAAACAAAACAAAAGACACCCAGTGCTGACTTTTGGTTCCACGTGTGTACCAGCAGACACAAGCACACTACTGCACATACACACATCCTTCTACATAAACACAGAGAGACAAATTAAGTACCATAATCTACAAGCTGGGGTCCCACTGTTGCCCGAGGACTCTTACCTAGTCCGTATTCTATAGAGTCCGGATGGTCCTCATCACCTTCTTGGCTGACCTTTTGGAGATGTTGCAGATAGGCATCAGTGTGGAAGGTGGCCATATCCTCCATGGAGGCCACTTTGGGCTTCACTATCCTAATAATAACAGCGTGGACATACAGAAGTACATGAGACTCAGAGTATGCAAAGAGCTGGAAATAGCAGTCAATATCTGAACAGAAAAGACAACTCCCAGCTTCTGGTTCCAGTGAGCCGAAGTCATAAACACACTGTCGCTCTGCTGCACTGCCCAGCCTTCACTTCCTCCATCTATGATACTGACCCCACTAATAAGAGACAAGAAGACAGATTTTTTTTCTTTTGGGTTTTTAGGTAGGAAACGATAACTGAAAAACCATATTTAACTCAAACAGATAATCTTGGGTCAAGGTCCCTGGTTTAGCCACATAGAACGCATTAACCCGGGGCCAGAAGGATGGCTCAGGGGTAAAGGCATCTGCCATTAAGCCTGCCAACCTGAGTTTAATCCCTGGGACCCACATTGTGGAGGAGAGAACCAACTGCCCTGGCAAGTTGCCCTCTGACCTCCATGTGTGCTCTCTGGTACACACATCCCCCTAAAGAAATACGTATCATTTTTAAAAAAATTAAAAGAGCTCTGGAGCTGGAGAGATGGCTCAGGGGTTAAAAGAATTTGTTGCTTTTGCAGAGGACTGGGGTTCAGTTTCCATCTCCCACATGGTGACTTACAACCACGTGGAACTCCAGTTCGAGATCTGACCTCCATAGGTACCAGGCGGCGCGCGCACACACACACACACACACACACACACACACACACACACACGCCAAGCACTCATACACATAAAATAAGTAATCATAAAACTATATGTCTAGAAGGCTGAAATATAAGCTTTACTCCGTAAGTTACATCTCATGAGAAAGCAGGAAGGAAGCTAGTCACGTTTGAATCAGTTTCTGCTTGGACCAGGCAATTCTTTCAGTGTAGTCTCTTGCTTTAGTTTTGGTGCTGAGCCTTGTCCCCTCTCCCCCACCCCGCATCCCTCTGTGACTATTTGAATAGGCAGCTGGGTTATCAAGCAGAATTTGAAGCCAGAGAACTGAATTCCTTTCCTAACTCCGTACTTACTAGTTCTGTTAACTTCAGGTGAGTTGACTGTTCTATACCTCAGCTTTCTCATCTGTAAAATGGGTCAGTTTAGTGGACTTATGTGGAGATGAAATAACATATACAAAACTTCATGGACAACTAGCATTAATATTAGAGTAAAAAGGTGGGAAACTGGACGGGGGATGCAGAGCAGTTATACAACATCTGCCTGTCATGGGCAAGGCCCTACGGTTGGTGCCAAACGCTGCAGAAAAAGGTAATATGTTAGATATGGTGGCAAATGTCTGTAATCATAGCACTTGAGAGGCAGGAGAATCATGAGTGTGAGGCTAGCCTAGGCTACACAACAAGTTCTACACCAGACTGGGCTCTATAAGAGTGTCTCAAAAAAAATGAGAAGTCAAATGTAAAAAGTGTTTATTTATGGGGGGCTGTATGGGCACAAATGCAGGGGTTTTTGCAAGCCCGTGCATGCACAGAGGCCAGCAAAGGAGGCCACAATCCTGCTCTGTAACTCCCACCCTATTCCCTTGAGACAGGCTCTCTCACTGAATCTGAACTTGGAGTTAGACTGGTGATCAGCAAGCCCCAGCAATTTTTCTGACTCTTGTTTATCCCTGCCAAGACACCGGGGCTACATGGATGTGTGACACAATCCAGCTTTTCCTCTAGATTCTGAGGACTTGAACTTGGGTCCTAGTGTTTGCATAGCAAGTGCTCTTACTTTCTGCTTCATCCTTCCAGTGTCCTCAAACATAAAGTTTCTATTACTTGTTCTCTTCTCTCTGTCTCCCAAGGAAGGACAGAAGGAGCAAACGGCTAGAATCTCTCACCCTGCTCCCCACAGTGAGCAAGAAAAGGAAGAAAGGAGAGAATAAAGGAAGCAAGTTACATGGGGATTTTGGCCTCGAACCTGCTGAGTCTCCATCTTCACTTCTGGATTCTGCTGCAGTTAAGTAAGTTCTCTAACCCTTGCCAATGAATGGGTAGGTAGTGAACACACTAGCAGCATGGAGTTTCTTTCTTAGAAAAGCAAAGCTCAAGTCTGAATCTAGGCCCAATGAACCACAATTTGTATTCTAACAAGAACACACACACAGGTTTATCAAGACCGGGTTTCTCTGTGTAAGCTGTCCTGGAACTCCTTCTGTAGACCAGGCTGGCCTCGAACTCACAGAGTGTTAGGATTAAAGGTGTGCACCACTACTTCTGGCTTCATATCAATCTTAACATGATGATTGCCCATTTAAATTGAAGGAGCACCACTCTAGCCGTGTATATTCTTCAAATGAGAGTAGAGCCATGAGGTTATCGTGAACTAATACAGGTAGGATATTTAGGTAACTAGTATAACCAAGGTGTTTGAAATCCTGTCGTTCAACTTTAAAAGTTAGAGTCAAAATCAAGGATTCTTGATTTTTCTTCAAGTACTCATCTATACCATGAGAGGCGAAAAAGTTGTCCATTAAAATAAAAATCTTAGGGCCAGCAAGATGGCTCAGCAGGTACAAGAACTTGCTACCAAGTCTGATGACCTGAGTTCAATCCCTGGACCCACATGGTGGAAGAGAGAATCAACTCCCGCCAAGTTGTTTTCTGACCTCTGCATATGCACTTGGCTGACCACTCCCTCACACACTCAACACCCCATCAAAATAAATAAATGCAATGTTAATAAAAATGTTTAAAATAAAAATATCAAGAAGCCTGGTGTAATGGCACATGCCTTTAATCCTAGCACTCAGGAAGCAGAGACAGGCAGATCTCTGGGAGTTCAAACAGAGCTAGTTTCGGGACAGAATATGTAAGAGGGCCAGTTTCAATTTTTTTCACAATCACAATCATATTGGATTATGTTTCCCAGCTTCTCCAAATGTTTTCTCTTACATTTATTACTTATTTCCCTGAATCCTAAAACTAAAGAATACTGTCAGCCTCTCCTGACCAGCAAGCTAACGAGTCTTGCTTTAACATCTTATTTGCAATAGAATATTTTTAAGTGTTGATTGTGTGTGTGTGTGGGGGGGGAATCTAGGCCTCAGGTATGTTAGACAAGTGTTCTATACACTGAACAATATCCCAAACCTCTTTAAAATTTTTGAGACAGATTCTGGCTAAGTCACAAAGCCTGACTTAGAATTTGTGACGCCCCTCCAGCACCACCTGGCTTAGAAAAGTGTTAAAATCCTTTAAGGAAAGGCAAATCATTATCTTGACAAACACAGGAGTTAAGCAATGGTAGAAAAACATTCCTAGCCAGAAGTGGTGACACACACCTTTTGACGGAGGCCTGTGGATCTTAATAAATTCAAGGCCAGCCTAGTGAATGTAACAGTCCCTAGCCAGACAGAGCTACACCAGAGACCTTGTCTCAAAGCAACAGCAAAACATTCCTAAAGAATGTACACACTGTCGGGAGGTGGTGGCGCGTGCCTTTAGCTCCAGCCCTTGGGAGGGAGAGGCAGGTGGATCTCTGTGAGTTCGAGGCCAGCCTGGTCTACAAATTGACTTCCAGGAGAGCTAGGACTGTTACATAGAGAAACCCTGTCTTGAAAAACCACACAATGAACGTACATATTATTATTTTTTTTTTTGCTTTTCGAGACAGGGTTTCTCTGTGGCTTTGGAGCCTGTCCTGGAACTAGCTCTTGTAGACCAGGCTGGTCTCGAACTCACAGAGATCCGCCTGCCTCTGCCTCCCGAGTGCTGGGATTAAAGGCGTGCGCCACCACCGCCCGGCTTATTATTATTATTAAAATGACTAATAATACTAAGGATAAAATCTAAAAACATATTACATTACTTTCTGGGAGGGAAATGAAGCATTAGATGATACAGTCACTCACCCAGTCATGAGAAAACCTGACTTGCATGTGCCACGTCCGTAAGAGTTGCATTTATGATATTATACACAGAATAGGAAATCAATGGAAAGTTGGTTTTGGTATGTTTTTGAGATGCATGTTGCTAGCTTTTAAGTTCTGGCTTGTTTTCAACAGATTGGGTGGTGTAAAGTTTGGCGATGATAGTGGAGTAGTATATCTAAAAGTCTCAAGTTGAGCCCACATCCTCAAATCCAGCTTTAGAAAACAAATAAAACCAAACCCAAAGCAAATATAAAACACACTGAACACTTCCCTGCTTAACCCCTCCCCACCCGCATCAAAAAGATCTTAGCATCTGGCAAGTGCTTATCCAGCAGCACTTTATTTATTATGGCTTCATGGGTGACAATGTTGAGAAAGGTCAACATACTTACCTTATTTGTTTGTGCAGGGCATATGCTTCGATCAGAGAGTGGACCATACTGGCCTGAAATATCAGCATGAAAAAAGAAAGACAAAACAGTCTCTTCAAGGCTCAATTTACTGAAATCCCATTAACAACATCCTGCATGAAGAACTAACTACTTTATCTCTTCTCTCTTGTCACTTTGTCAGTTGGGAAAAACTTAAGACAAAACAATACAAAGCATTAAAATCGCCAGGCTACCCAGTATACTGAACACAAGTGATGGCATACTGTCCTCCAACAGCTTGTGGTCAAGGACATCAATGAACCCAGCCTATTAGAACCTCCACTCACCACTTCACCGTTTCTTTCTCTCCCCCCGCCTTCAGATCTCCCGCCCTCACCCTCGGCTCGGACGTCCCGTCGTGCTCCCCAAAGGTAACAAACCACTTCCTTCTGCCCCAGCTTGGTGTACCTGAAACGGCTAGTTAAATTTTTGTTTAAGGTATCACTCAAGTCTAGTTTTCCTGGTTTCCTAACATACTCCCTTTTACACCCTCCCACTCCCATCCCCCCAAACGGTGGTCTTTCATCCAGACCTCTTACCCGTTTGGGGATCTTGACGAGAGAGTCGCAAATGCTGACATACTCGGGACTATAAATATAAACCGGGGGCAGCGAATGCCCACTATCGGCCGGTTCCTCTGGCATCTCCATCTCCCACTTCCGACCGTCCCTGAGCCAAAGTCCGGACCCGACAGTTTGCGGACACAGCCTGGGCTCCGGTTCCTGCGCCTCTGTTCGGCCCCAGCGGTGTTCCCTGTTCAACATTCCCTCTTATTTAGATTGCCGGAGACAGTTTGCCTGGTCCCTCGCCCAGCTGAGGGAATGAATGGGCCCTCCCATACCAAATCCCTTCATTTAATGACTACAGTTCAAAAAAAGAGCTTAACAGATATAAAAGCCCAAATGGCTGCCAATTGGCATCGATTTTTTTTCAAGGCACAAGCAGCAGGGTCAAAACTAACCAGCCTTGTTGCCCTACGGGGCCATTTGAAATGAGGTCAGATTAGCTTCAGAGCATGCTGGGAGATGTAGTTTTAAGAGAGTAAGATAACGGAAGAGTTACAGCTGAACACTAAAAGCTGCGATTTCAAGTTTTGGCGCTAAAAAGGAGCCTCAACTCTTTTAAGTTTTCAGTCTGTAAATACAGCCATTTAAATGTTTAGAGGTTTAAATACATTTTTAATAGCCACATAAGACCCACCACCATCCAGCTACATCAGCCGACTGTACTAAGAACAGGCTTTGAGGGGCTGTGGGATTAACTCACTGACTGGTTTGGAAATTTTACACAGCAAATTTCGTGCTGCAACTTTATTTCTACTTTTCCTCACGATCCGTTAAGAGCTAACAATTTCACCAGTAATCTACTCTGACAAATCAGCTATCCCCTTCCTGAAACTGACTGAGATTGTGAAAATTGTAAGGTAGAATTTAACCAAAGAAAAATAACAGCATCTTCCTGGATCTTTCGCGTGATGGAAAGTGCGGGATGTCGCCCCAAAATTTGGAAAACGCAGCTCCCTCCCACATTTCCTTTCATTCGCTTCTGCAGCTAAACAGTGCTTAGGGTGAATGTTTTCATTTTGGCTTGCAGGGTGTTAGTGTGCCTTCAGGTAGTGTAGTTTTGGGTTTCTGGATGCCTCCATGATCTGAGCCTAGCTGGTCAGTTCCCAGACCCCCAACACTCACACCATCCTGAACTGACCTACTGAGGCCTCTGAAACAAGCCCACATGTGTAACTTCATTTTGTGATAGGCACTTTGGTTATTATCTTAGTGAATCCTTTCAACAGTTCTGTGAAGGAAGCTGTAATATGCTTACTTTACAGCGTATTCTGAAGAGAAAACGTCATTCTTAGCCACACACTGAAGTAGGAAAACAACCCAAAATCAGATCTACCTGACAATGAAAATCGAAATACTCCTTTTACTACATGAACTTGATTCTTCCAGGTTGACTTTGTGCTACACATGTGGTCAATAGTCCATTTATTATCTCCTTGATACATAATATTCTTGCAATCTTGGGGCGTATACATGTGTTCTCCAGTTAGAATGGATCCAGTCATGCTTCCTTTGTATTCTTCCATAGGAACTAGTTCAAAGTGCGGTCATCACTCAGCTACTCAAGTAATTTCATCAACTCTGTGAACTCAAAGATGCAATGTACTCTCAAGGAATCGGCATCATTATACAGAAAATAAGGGAACTATAAAAGAAACCATGTCAATACAGGTCCAGATAATGAATGTAAGGTGCTTAATTTACCTAACAAAATAAGCCTTAAGAGCCGGGCGGTGGTGGTACACGCCTTTAATCCCAGCAGAGGCAGGCGGATCTCTGTGAGTTCAAGGCCAGCCTGGTCTACAAGCGCTAGTTCCAGGACAGGAACCAAAAGCTACGGAGAAACCATGTCTCGAAAAATAAAAAAAAAAGCATTAAGTACTTAAATAATGAGTATTCAATAAATGGTTAAGCAGCGTTCTTAGTAGCATTTGAGACAATCTCAGTGAATGTACAATATTGTGCTTGGTGAGGATGGGACGCCATGCTGACTGGAAGGAACAGCTTACATAAAAATACAAAGAACTGGGGCTGGAGAGATGTCTCAGCAGTTAAGAGCGCTGGCTGCCTTTCCAGGGGACCCTGGTTCAATTCCCAGCACCCACCCTCCCAGCAGTTCACAGCTGTCTGTACATTCAGTTCCAGGAGATGCAACACCCTCACACAGACATGCATGCAGGCAAAACACCAATGCACATAAAACAAATTTTTTTTAAAATACAAATAAAGTGTGACAGGCAAGATGATTCAGTGGATAAAGCAGAACTCTATTTTAGCAGAACAGACCAGATCAGAAAAGGCTTCAAGTATTAGAGTAACAAACACACTCCATTCTCTTGGAAAGGTGGGGGGCATTTTTGTAATGCTGAGGATGAAAGAGCTCTGTGTCTGCCAGGAAAGTGTGCTAGACCCCGAGTCCTTAGAATCTTCAGAAAAAATTCTACAACAGCAGTGTGTATGAAAATTGTTTATTTGAAAGACTGGCACGTCCAGATAAGGAGTAGTCACCGATTTAAGCTAGGGAGGCAGCAGTGGGAAGAGAAAGGGAGCTGCAGTGCATAGGGAGGGAGCTCAACAGGACTTTCTGGCTACTTGGATCATGGGGGAAAGGGAGGGGGATGAAACCTGGAAAAGTGGAAGATCTGGGGAGAAGAAATCAGGGCCTTCATTCCGTGGAAGAGTGTGTGCTTAATCTGTGCAGCACCAAAAAGAAAAAGGGCCATAAGGAAGAAGAAATGAAAAGGTGGGGCAGGATGGACTTTGGAGTATACGGAAGAAATGCTAAAAAGTGTTAAATCTCATAAAGCAATGTGTCACCTGGCTGTGGTGGCACACGACTTTAATCCCAGCACCAGGGGCAGAAGCAGGCAGATCTCTGTGAGGGCAAGGCTGGCCTGGTCTACTGGTTTATGTGTCAAGACCCTGTCTCAGACACCACACACACACACACACACACACACACACACACACACACACACTTCCATATAAAAAATAAAGATGAGCCAGGCGGTGGTGGTGCATGCCTTTAATCTCAGCACTTGGGAGGTAGAAGCAGGCAGATCTCTCTGAGTTCGAGCCCAGTCTGGTCTAGAGAGTGAGTTCCAGGACAGCCAGGACTGTTACACAGAGAAACCCTGTGTCAAAAAATAAAAAATATTAAGAAGTTATGAGTGGCTAAAGTAGCCAGGGTAATATGAATGAAACAGTTGGATATAACATAACTTCTGGATATAACTTTAATGTTTTCAAAACTAAACTTCTATTCCCTTTTTACACCCTTTCCCCATTTTTACACCTGTCCCTATTGCACAAGCCAGAAACCTAAGAGCTATTTCTGTGCCTTTCCATTCCTTCAGCTGCAGATCTAATCCATCAGCAATTTCAATCCGCTCCATCTCCAAGACAACCTTAAAGGCACCTGCCTCTCCCACAGTTCCTACCCCAGACTGGCAACCATTACCTCTGGTCTGAACTTACATAACTATATATCTGATTTTTTCCTTCTACGTGTGTGTGTGTGTGTGTGTGTGTGTGTGTGTGTGTGTGTGTGTGCAAGGTTGTTGCGTAAAAGTTTCCTCTGAGATGGAAACATTCTATCCTGCAGGGAAGTTCCTTAAGACAAAAAGCAAGCAACTCAAAATGATTCAGGTACTCCCTGAAACTGACCAGATCAATTTCCTGCCCACTCCCCAAGAGTAAACACAGCTGAGTCTCCGACAAGCCAAGTTTCTTGAAAGTAGCAGAGACCAGCCCAATTGCCTAGATGAATCAAAGACCAGTAGAGCGGCCTGGAAGAGGCTTGGGCCTGCTGATGCTCCTGGTAGGACACTCTCCAACTTGTGTGCTCCAGATTTTCAGCAGCTTTTGTGAGCTGTCACCCATGATGGGGTAGACTTTGCTGATGATGCAGCTTTCTTTGAGTCATTTCTACTCCTGTAAGTAACCTCAAAAACCTCGATGGCTCCCAAAGTTGGACTTTGGTGGTATCCATACTTTGGTCTGCTGTAGGTTCCCTATCTGGGGTGAGTAGACTGTGTGTTGTCTTCCCAGGAAAAGTATCACGCGGCGGGGCTGTGTCCCCAGCACCCCGGCCGCCTGGCTAGCTTATACCCCGAAATAATTACACGGACACTGTATTCTTTTAAACACTGCTTGGCCCATTTCTATCTAGCCTCTTCTGGGCTAACTCTTGCACCTGGACTAGCCCATTTCTAATAATCTGCTGTAGCCCACGAGGTGGCTTACCAGGGAGATTCTAGCCTACGTCCATCCTGGGTCGGAGCTTCATGCATCTGCCTCAGAGAGCAGAGCTATCGCCTCTGTCCGGGAGAGGGGAGCATGGCGTCTCTGTCAGGTGTCTGCCCCCAAGAGGAGAGCTGTCGAGTCTGAGCTCACTTCCTCTTCTTCCCAGCGTTCTGTTCTGTTTACTCCTCCCACCTATGTTTTAACCTATGAGGCCAAGCAGTTTCTTTATTACTTAACCAATGACCTTCCTCCATCAAAGGGTGCATGTGCATACCTTCGGGTATGACTTCTCAGGGGTTTTCTTGTTTTTGGAGACATAGTCTCTACTGGCCTGGAACCTGAGTAGTCTATGCTGGTTTGGTGGCAATTCCCCAAGATCCGCATCCCCATCCCCAGCAGTGCAACTGTGAATTGTGTGTGTCACTGTGCCTAGTTTTTTAAATGTGAGTCTGAGGTTGAATTCAGGCACAACGAGCACTTTACCGACTGAACTGTGTCTCAGTCCTCTTCTGGTCTTACTGCCCAGCGACCTATTAGATGCAGCAGCAGAGACATTTTCTTTTTAAAAAAATTAAAAAGTAAACTGGGACTGGAAGATTAACTCCGTCAGTAAAGTATCTGCTGTACATTCATGGTGACCTGAGCTCAGATCCCCAGCGCCCACAGAAAAGTTGGCTGCCTGCCATCTAGGTGCCGAAGGCAGAAGCAGGCTGATCTCCTCGAGGGCGGGGTTGGTGAGAGAGCTTGTCTCTAAAAATGGCGGAGAGTGATTGAAACAGACACCTGCCATTGCTCTCTGGCCTCCATCCATGCATATGTGTGCAAACACCTCCCCCACCAGAGCGGGGAGAAGAGAGGGAGAAAGGGGATGTCATTAAGACCTGTCCCATACCAGGCTGAGGATCTTCAAGTCCACAATTGCTTTTAGGAAGAGAGAGAAGAGCACACAGTTCGCACACAGAACGGAAGGAGCCTGAGGCTGTAGCGTGACCAAGGTGAAACTGACAGTCTGGTAGTGTAGGGAGGAAGTGACTCTTGCTCTGGGCCTTCAGGGCTAGGCAAGGGAAGGAAAAACTGGCTGACTGAAGCCCTACATTTTAAGCTCTAATTGGATGGCACGGAAATGGGTTGTTCCATATGCTTTCCAGCTCTCCAGCACACAAGCTCCTTCGATCTAGAAACGGCATCTGAGCGTGGTAAACAAGCCACAGGTGATGCAGCTGTGGAGCACAGTGAAGTTTTACTTAACGCTCCGGAATTGATGGTAATTCCTGCAGTGGCCCCACAGCGTGACTGGATGCTTGGTCATGGTTAACTCTGATCAAAAGCATTCCACAAGTCTAATTGTTTAGTGCCTATACTGTCCTGGAACTGGGAATGAGACCTTCTCAAGACACTGAATTTGGGGTCACTGGACTCAAGGGAAGAGAAAGGAGGGTGAAGCCTGGCTCTGAGGTTTGCCTGGGTGATGGCCCTATACAATTACTTGACTGACTTTCTCCTGCTATTGCCAAAGGTACTGTTTGAACCTGCAAGGTCAGAATGGATGGGGAAGTTTCTTTTGTGGGCCTCCCTTGCCTACCTTTTCTGGAAGAGGCAGGAAAAGGAAAAGTAAATCTATTGAGCGAGCACTCCCCCAGTAGCTTTGATGCTTCAACATACTGACCTGATTTCCCATCATCTCCTAACATGTCTTCCTTGAAGAACACAATTGTTATGAATGAGAACTCTAAAGGTAGTACAAGGGTTCAAATTCCAGAAGAGTGAATTATTAGCTAATTTACCTTGTGCAATTTGCTTCAACTATTAGAGTGAGTTCCCCCACCTCTAGTGTTGACTGTGAAGGGAAGCTGCTCTATTGTATTTGGCAAGCACTCACATACTACTTGTTTTAAGGACTATTATGTCAACCATTTTTTAATATGCATGCCAAATTTTACCTGCTATCCTAAATTGATGGATGTAAAGTACTTCTAGTGATCTGAGGACAAGTTCTTGGCTTTGGGGTACAGCCTTAAAAGAAATCAGACTTCAACTAGATACAAGGTGGTCTTATCATTGGCCCTAGAACACTTATGAGAATGACATACAGTGATATGAACATTTATGCCAGGAAAGGATGTATAAATAAGGGCTCTAATGAGCAAACCAAAATCTGCAGTTACTTCAACTGGACAAAAAGTAAAGACTAAGGGGCTGGGGAGATGGCTTGCCATGTAAGCATGAGTATCTGCACTGGAACCCCAGCAGCCATAGCCAAAGCAGGACATGGTGCTGGCACACGCCTGGTTTCTGCCTCAGTGCAGGGCACCCAGGCGGGATGATCTTTGAGGCTCACTGACCAGTCAGCCTCATCTGGTGAGTCCAGGATCCAGTGAGAGACTGCTACAAACAGATGAAAGTGGAGGGCTTCTGAGGAAAAACACCCTGGTTGACCTTAAACCTCCAATGCATACGTACCAGAATGATACACATGCACCAGCATGATACACATGCACCTGACATGATACACATGCACCTGACATGATACACATGCACCTGACATGCTCTAATTGACACCTCTGTGTCAGGAGTACTAAAATTTAAAGGTGTGCACCACCATGCCTGACTTTTTGGTGTGTGTGTGTGGCTTATTGTAAATATTTTTTCAATACTTTGTATTTTTATGTAGCTCAAGGTGGACTTGAACTTGTGATCCTCCTGTTTCTACCTCTGCAGTGCCAGGATTCAAGACAAGGGTGCAGAGGCTGTGTGGTCTTTGGAGTGCAGTTCAGCTTTGGAGTGGTAGTGCACGCCTGCAATTCCAACCCTTGGGAGG